CTGTTAAATAAATAAATACAACACAAATACAACACAAAAGTAACAAAGGCAACAGTAAAAATATTGAGTTTCTGTCTGGATGGTCTCTTGTGATGAGCCGATGGACAGAGAATGGAAGCAGTTAGTTTCCTCCCATAATTGGGGCATACCAGGGGTTGTGACACTAAATACATACATACATACATACATACATACATACATACATACATACATACATACATACATACATACTGTTGTGTTTGTGCTGATAAATATTGACAAATATTTGGGCATACCAGGGGTTGTGACTTTAAATATATATAAATAAAGGGAGACATTGTGACACAATACATACATACATACATATATACACACATATACATACATACATACATAAACATACACACACACACACATACATATGCTTTGTAGATAAACCACTATTTTCAAAAGTCAAAACCTCTGTGTACTGTATTTTGCTCCTGGGTTGTCTCAAAATAGTAGTCACACTGTGCACATTCTGACATATGGGATAAATAAATAAACAAAGTGTACTAGCTTAGGAGATAGATCAAGCTAAGTAGCTAGGAGTTTGAATCCAGTTTACTCTGGAGATACAGAGCAATGATTAACTAATGTATCTTTTTTACTTACGAAGACACCAAATGACAATCCATAGTCCTTTCATTACTTTCTGCTTGGGACTTATTTATTATAAAACATTTATAAATAATGTTATGTATTATTGAAACAGCTTTCATGTGCTTCATTAAAAAAAGATCTACAATAAATTATAAAGTACCTCTCATTAATAAACCACATCTATAGAATCATAATGTAATAACATTAATAGTACCCACAGTTCTTAGTTATCTATATTCTCTATACAAATCCCCCAAATGCCTACTTAAATAACCAAGTTTTGACTGAACTTCCAAAGATTAACAGTGAAGAAATAGGTCCGGCAAAGTATCATGGTTCAGTAGCACATCGTCCATTTAGAACAAGTGGGAAAATGGGATTAATATATAAGTGTGACATCAGATCGCTGCTGGCCCATCACTGCTTTAGGGGAACCGTCAGATCCGCAGAATATGATGTATTTGTATATTATTATTTTAAGCAATCCAAACACAGTTGGGAAGAAAGTCCACTAAACAGTTCTGTTTGTTGGACCACTCAACTTCCAGGTAAGAAATCCAACATATCTGAAGTGTACAAGATTGGGAGGTCTGCACTAGGACCACAGCTCTGTTCTTCAGGAGTTCATTCCAATGTTTATTTTCAACCCCAGATACTATAATACTGCTGGCAAGATTCTTTAGCTATGTTCCAAGAAGAAACTTCCAAGAATACGTAAGGTTTTTCCTGAATATGCTGCAATCAAAGTACATGCCTCTTGGGAATATCTGAGCTGAGGTGATCTCTGCATGTTTAACAACAGGTTTCTGCATGTATAACCTGCAGCTGCTACTACAAAATGGATCACCACACCTACTAGTTGCTGACAGGCTATTGGTAAATCCTTTCGACTGCAATTTGGTGCACATTGGATTGAAAATGAGTTCTAATGAATCCAATTTGGAAAATGGGTTTCATGATAATCTGATAACCTGATTACAGCAATGTGACAAACATCCTGTAAATAACATACCATTAGCAGGTTTATTAAGCAATTATAATGATTCTTACTTAAAATCATTATAACAAATGATGTGCCCTTAACTCACAAAAGAGGTCTTGAAATGGTATCACTTTGTTTGTTAGCTTTAGGTTTTGTATTAGGCCTGGTCTGAAAAATCAACACAAGAGCAATTTAAAAACTTGAAAAACCTTAATATTTACAAATTATTAAATTTGTAATTTAATATATATATCCCACCTGATTTTCAGCAACTTTGAGAGGCTTACAAAAATCAAAGACATTGCAACAAAATCACTAAAATGTAAAAAAAAGATAATAAGATAAAAGATAGAAAATAGGATGAATTGCTGAAAGCTTGGGTAAAGTGCTAGATTTTCATGATTTTTCTAAAAAGAAATATATTTTTTGTTGCCCCTAGATCAAATTTAAAGCAAGATTGCCTAATATTGCTAAGTATTGGTAAGGTCAAAGAATTAGAAAGTGGAGAGTCAGAAGATTCTTTCAATCTATTAGCCTCTCAAAATTATTAATACAAATTATTAACATTGAGATTACTATTGTTTTGGTTGAGAACCAATTCAATATTAAGAGAGCCATGTAAAAATGCATCCATGAGATACCAGTTTTAATAGATAATAATTAGAAATAGACAAACATGACTTTTCAAAATTCTCCCCATATTTTTGAGCAGAGAAATTGTGTGGATGATTTCTCAGAATGTCTCCAGGGAAATGGAGAAATTTCATAACCAGTATCAAAGGAAGGAACTCCCTCAGTAGTGACAACACTACCACCACTAAAAAAAAATCCGTCAGACAAGCTCCCTGTGACATATTTCCTTGGAGCCTAATAACGGCACAAGGAGTCCGGCATCTATAGACCACCGGAGAAATTATTCTGCACTGAAAACCATCACTTGCACTAAAAAAGAGCAAGAACATCATACTCTACCCAAGAGAATGTATCTGAAATTCTCTTTTTCTTTGGAAGAATTATTAAAGCAAATGTTCTTTGATTAAAATTCTCTTTAGCACTTCTGAGGTACTTACCAGCATAAAGAATTCCTAGGCCAAAACTGTACTACAGAAACTCATTTGCAATTACCGGTATAAGGTTATCCACACTGTAATAGCACCATTGGTGTCCAATAATGCACATCTAAAAGCCTTTAACCTTCCTCAAAAACTGCTTTCAGACTATTAAAGTTCCCAGTTTGGGATAGTTGCTCAAATAGAATATTGAAGGAACAGGATTTTTCCTTCCCTCATTTTTTTTTACTACTCTCCCAGTATCAGCCATACAAAATCTGGTAAATCTGCAAATTTCTGGTCATTCTTATAGGCATAAATTGCACTCTTCTTTTATTCCCATGTAAACAAACCCTAAGTTGTTGAATTAATGAATTAGTGAATAGCATATTGCACTTATTATATAGAAGAATAACCAGTTACATTTTTGTTATTGACAAAACTACTGCCAATCTATTTCTCAAGTTCCAGTGTTATTGGGAACTCTAGAAAAATGTTTCTGTATTCTATCTCTACGTCCCAATATTACTATATGCCAAAGCAAAGGCCATTATACTTTGGGGTGGGGTGGGAGCATATTGTCATAGAAAATAAGATGATATTGAGAGAGACAGGTGAGATGCAGTATCAAAGAAAAGGGTATCTTAAATCTAGAACAAGTAGGTAAATGCCTCACCTCCTTAATTCAGATGGGTATAAGAAAGGGAAACAGTATCTCACAGACTTGCAAGATTCTATTATGATAACCTGTCTCAGTAAAAGTAATATTAGCCTTCCTGTGGAGTTGATTTCCTATTTTCATCTT